ACCCTCTCTCAACTCTTTAACTCAGAAACACGAACTTTGGCAGGCAAGGCCGCTGCGCGGAGTAACTAAGTTTATTTAGCAACAAAATTTTGTAATAAAAAGCATTTTAATTAAGTAGCCTTTTCTTTAATATTTTTAATTTAAGTAATTAACTTGATATAATATAAAAAAGAAGAGAATGTAAATTAAAATAAAAAGTATTAATAAAGACTCTAATTTCTCTAAGAGAGTTTTACAGACAAACAAGTATATTCTTTGGTTTTCTTTTAAAAAAAAAGAATATTTTGAATTCTAAGTATTCAAAATAAATAATTTTATCTAATTGTACTGCAATTAACCAAAATAAGCTTTGCGAGATTTTTTGCTTGCAAAAAGTTCGATAACTGCATCAAAGTCTAGTTTCCTTGCAAGTGGCGCCTCAATCGCTAGTCTTCCCAAATTAGAAAGTCGATCTTGACACATCGTAGAACATAAAACATTTTTAACTCTAGCAAGCGTGCTGAAAGAGCGTTCTGCTTGTGCAACGGTAACTGGAAGTGTACAAAAAATTCTAAGAACAACTAAAATGTTTGGGAAAAGAGAATCAAGCTTCAACTCATGGAGTTTGTTTAATAATTGAAACGTCGATAATTGTATTATGCCAAGATTTGATGCGTGAATTGCCATTAAATGTTCTAACTCGTCTATTAAATCGAGAGAAACATCAATGCTGTATTTAACGCAAATAGATAAAGCTTTCTCACGCAGCAGATCTTTATCTAATGTCATGTATTTCCATACAACACCAAATGTTTCCTCAAGATCTTTGGCTGCCTCAAAACGCCAATTCATATTACTAATGACACAGTCTAAAAGAACATAAAAAACATCGCGCTTGAAACAAAATTCTGCACTGGTGTTGCCTAATTTATTGTTCTGTTCCTCATCTGAAAATCTAGCTTTTCCTCCGGGAATATGTCATTGGAAACCATACCCAGATTTTCGACAACAAGTTTACATTCATTTAAAATTGAATCCCAGTTGTTTCTCAATAATAAGAGGTCATCAATTAAGCTTTTTAAATTTAAAACCTCCACATCTAAAGTTGCATCTCTGGCTTGCAGAACTGTGTTTCTGTAATTGATGCTTGTTAGAACTTTAAACCAAGTGCTTGCGAGTATAATGCACTCAAATGAACCCAAGTATTTCTCAATACGTATGATATCTGATCGAGTCTCGGCAGTAAGATTTAGCTTCTTTAAGTCTTGGATAGCACTCTTTAAACCAGGAACATGTTCTGCAAAATGTTTTACACTTTCAATCCTGGCTGACCAACGTGTATCTGACATGCTATGCAAAGAGCATCCAATGTTTTCTTTTAAAATTTGCCATCTTTGCGGGCTAGAGCTGAACAAGTTATAAGTCTTTTGCACAATACCGAAGAAGTTTATAACCTCTGTACAGCACTCTGCGGCATGGACGCTGCACAGATTTAAGCACATGGAGAATAAATTGCCAATTGGTTCTCTTTAATTATCTCTGCTTGTGCTCCTTTATATCAACCGCTTATGTTGCTACCGTTGTCATAACCTTGACTACGACAGTCTTTCATTGGTATATTGTGTTTTTTAATAACACTGAAAATTAATTCAGCAATAGCTTTCCCTGTTTTCTGATTGCAGTCAACAAACTCTAGAAATCTCTCTTGACCTTCGTAGAGACTATTTTCTTCATTTAAATAAACATAGCGCAATATAAATACAGTTTGTTCCATATGTGCTGAATCAGGGGTTGCATCAACAAGTATTGAGTAATATTTTGCAGCTACTCGTTCACTTACAATAACGTCTAATACTTTTTTGGCACAACACTCTATAAACTCATTTTGTATTTCCGGTGAAAGCTAATTTGCTTGTTGTCTTCTCTTCAATTTTTTGCGACTTTATCACTTTGTTCAGATGGTCTTTCAAGACAGAATCATAATGGCTCAAGAGCTCTAAAATGGCCAAAAAATTGCCATTTGCTGCAACTCTAACTAAATCACTTGTTCCTCTAAATCCCAAACCTCGTTCGGCTAGAAACAATGTGACATCTAAAATTCGGCGAAGAACCTGTTTCCACTGTGATGCTTGATTCTTAATGGTCTGCAGCAGCATAATATCGATAGTGGAATTAGGGTCAATACTTTTTTCCAATAGCTGCCATTTAATATAACAATATGAATGGTTGCTGCTGTTTTGATGCTCTGGAATTTTGTCATGTAATTTTTTCCATTTTCTTACAAAACAATACCCAGATATAGTTGTTAAACGTGAGCGACTTGCTGTTGGTAGTTTGCTAAAAAGGCGACAAGGAAAACAAAATATCGATTGTTTAACTTTGCTCCAAACAAGCCAATCACGGGGAACATATTCTCCATTTTTCATACTTGTATGTAGTATACAAACAGGAAATGAATGTCCGTTCACATCTTTTGGAAATTGAGATGGGATCTTTTCTGGACCCCTACAAACTGTTTCCTCAATTTCAGAAGCATTTGATCTTTCATTTTTCAGACTACCAACATCAAAGTCAAGCAGTTATGTTTTAGCAATTTTATTATCAGTTATATTTGATTTATAACTCTCAGAGATATTGTTGATAGGAACTAAAAGATTGCCGGGCTCCACGTCATTTTTATTTCCTATGTTTTTAGGATCTGGAAAGTCGGCAATCACATTAATTAAATCTGCAGCTTGTTCAACAACGTTGTCGTTATTGTTAAAATTAGCTTCTACATTATGATATTCATTTTCTAAATCTTTCCCTTTCGAAGACACTGAAAATCCATAACTTTGAAGTAGAGTTTGTTTTTCATTTACTTTTTTCAATCTCGACAATTTTTCTTTCCTTTTTTGAGATTAAAATTTGTGATGGTAGTTCATTTTTTATTTGACTACTAAATAAGATTTTATATAAATCGGCATTAATTATCATTCCGATAAATGCGGTAGTGGTGTAGTGGTAGAGCGCTCGCTTCATAAACGAGTGGTTCGGAGTTTGATCCTCGCCACGTCCCTGGTAGTACCGCGCTCAACTCGTTTCTCCGCGCAGCGGCCTTGTTCATCAAGGTTTGTGTTTCGGAGTTATAGAGTTGAGAGAGGGTTATAGCCACAAATAAGTAGCCTCCTCGTCTGTAGTGGCCTTCTCGGCCTTGAGGAGATGAATTAAAATAAAAAAATAAAATAAAACATTCTCTATATGATATAATATACTATATTAAAGATATGTCATTGATATATCGATGGTATGTACTATAAAGCAATATGTGCAACAAACACTCCTAAACATTAGCGTAGTGATGGGAGACCAAAGCGGAAATGGCCCCTGTCGCGAAGGCTTTAAGAGGTCCAAAAAATTGAGGAGCAAAAAAAAAATGAAACCAATTTTAACATAAAAAGTAATAATTTCTTAATTTTATTGTAAAAAAGTGCATTTATTTCATTTTTACCCCGGTCGCAAAAATATTCGCTACGTCACTGATCTTAAGCGTCATATAATTTATTAAATAAAGCAATTTTTATAATTGAATGTTTTATACCTTATAACAAAACTCCATATACAACTGATTAAACTTTAACATAAAAATAAACTAAACTGTAGAATCAAATAAACAATTTTCTGGCATTCTTTGTCTTTTATTTTAAAATACCGCAAGTGATTTAATGTTCTGCAAATGATCTAAAGTACTCGAATTATACAAACTATAAATGCTTCCAAATAATGTGTTCAAAGTATATTTTTTACTACATAATTTTTTTCTTGAGATATTTTCCTTTTGATTTATTTCCGAATAACTTAGCTTATTAAATTTATAAAATATTTATTATGTTTTGCATTTAAATTTAACGTTTACGGTGATACTAATGTTAAAAACTGTAATTAGAACAACCAATCTAAACGCAGTATATTTAAAAAGGCAAATATAATACTTTATAATTCACAAGTCCGGGCCCCAGGACAATATACCCCCCTCTCTCCGGTCATGTATATATATATATATATATATTTATATATATATATATATATATATATATATATATATATATACATACATATATTTAAGTGAAATTTATTATCAGGCATGAATTGATGACAAAGGGAAAGAAATGAAAACTTATATTTTGAAAAAATAACTACACTGTTTTGGAATTACGCAGGATCTTAAACAAAATTTTAACACGTTTTGCCTGTCGAATTTTGCGCGTGCGCTTAAAAATGTAAACAAAGCAAACCGTCTATAGAAATTCTGTAGCCAGTCTCCCCTACATGTTAAAAACATGACAAATTTTTTACTAAACTCTCTTTTAATTTAAAAAGTGTATTTATTGCCAGAAAAAAGTTATTTAAGAGCAAAATACATAATTTTTAAAATAAAATTATTAAAACGATAACCCTTATGTTTTAAAAAATACATTTAAAAATTTTTAAACTTAAAAATTACTTTTTGTTAAATGTATTTTTAGTCGCTTTATAAAGTTTCTGAGACACTGTGCGCCGTAATGAGTATTGTTTTATAAAAAATAAATTCTGAAATAGCAAAACGATACGCGATGAAAAATTCACAAAATTTCACCATTAAACGTTTTTTTAAAATGGGTTTTTACACTTGAAACTTTATTTACTATCCCCCTCAAAAAACAAACACTTTAATTTCTCTTTCAACTGTTTGGAAGAAGAATAATACACCTTTTTGTCAAACTATGAAAAAAAAAAAACTTGTGGTAAAACTGTTTAAAAAATTCTGAGTAATATTTTTCCGGATACTGCAGCACATTGTTGCATATATATAAATATTAAACTGTTTTAAAAGACTTCTTTTTAAAACTCATGAAGTATTTTCCAATCATGCCAATTTTAAATATGCAAGCTTTTTTGATTTTGTGAAGACAACAAATAATAAAAATCAAATCAATTATTAGTACTAATTTTTTTTAAATGAGACAATATTATAAATAATTTAAAAAATAAAAATATAGTATTTTTATCAAATATATACTTTAAAATATTGGCTTTAAAAAACTTTGAGTTACTTTTTTCAGAAGTTATGCATTATCTTACAATTATATAACTAAATATTTTTTGTTCACTTCTAAACGAAATGAACAATGTATTAACAAATTTCAAATTAAAAAAAGACATCAGCCACATTCAATGCCAAATTTATCAAAACTTCGAAGGATAATGCTTAATTTTAAGTGTACTGTGCCCATTGCAACAGTAGTGAGCTTATATCTATCTGTTCCTGAGTAAATTATATCAGAGTTACGTAGTATTGGTCCACCACTTACAAAGTAGGATCGTAAACGCTGTTTCCAATCTCCGACAGGCTTCCACGTAACACAATTCATTTTATGATGAC